TCAAAGTTAAAACACTTATCAAAAATAACGCCAAGATTACGAGCTGAGGATGATGGTACAACTGTCACGTTGCCAATTTGAAGAGACTCTAAAGAAGGAAACTGCATGTAAGCTACTTGAAACCTTAAAAATTAATAGCAGGTAAATTGTTGGTCAGTTGTCTGTAATGTCTTTCTTTCGTTCATTGCATATAACATGATTGCAAATAACGGGGCATAATGTACATACAGATAAATGACATTCAGATTCCACTAACTCTCAGTTCAGTTTTTCCTTAACACTATTTTAGCACTTTTGAGAATCTTTTTCAATTTTTATTAATACTCGCAGCCAAGTTGCATCTCTCCAAGAAACCAACAGAATATTGAACAAGGAAACAGAAGAAAAAGAGAAACAACTACAGTTGATGAAGATGCGAGAAGAGACGTTAACTAAACTGGTTAGAGACTGGGTCTTGGAGCCTTTCAGCACATATTGATCTTACAACACAGTTTCTTCATGTTTTACTTCGAGATAGAAATCTGGGTTGTCATTCTACATAGGTTAACCAACAGTCTGTCTGACAGTCATCACCAGTCCATCAATCTTTGCCTTGATGTCTTTAGCTCTGCATGTCAACGACAATGAAAAATGTCTAAGTGCTTTGAAGGAATAAAGTTTTATAATGGATGACAGTTGAAAACAACATATTGAGACTATGGCAAATATTATTAAGATTCCAGACAGTGTCTTTTGATTGTTATGAGCATAACAGATTATTTTAGATTTTGCTGCTGCAGATATAAATATAGCTAACTTTGATTTTTGGCATTCTCTAGCAAGTGTCCAAGTGTAAAGAGCTAAAAACAGAAAATGAAACCTTGAAACACAGTTTAACCATGATCAGGTATTTCATGTTTTGCTCTACATGTAGTATGTACGTACAGGTTTCCCACATACCTTGAAAGTCCTTGAATTTTACAATCAAAATTCAAGGCCATGAAAGTCCATGATTTAAAGTACACTGAGTCCTTAAAACCTTGAAGCTAGTTGTTTGACTCTTTCCACATAGTGAAAGAACTACAAAAGATGTCAACTTGAGCAAATCCTGCAGTTATCCCTTAAACCTGAGCATCTAGAGTCACATTCTAATTTTTTTTTTAGTGCTTGGAGTACTTGAAAAATTGGAATTGTGTCCTGGAATGTCTTTGAAAACTCCTTGAAGTTTTAGTCCAAGAAAGAGTATAATTATGTGCATTGCTTGTGGCGAAAAATGTCAATGTAAATTGTCTGAGGTTATTAGCCAGAGAAACATGGCAAAAAGTAGTCCCAAAAAGACATTAAAGAAATGTAAAATGACTGCCTGTTATAAAATAATAGCTGTTGGCTGGCATCATTGTAACGCAAGACTATTATATCCAAGAATTTGATTAATTGCAAAACAGAGAAGATTATTACCAATTAGATGGAAGACAGAATCAAGACACAATGCTGCGAGAGATTTTAGTCTTGATTACTCCCAGTCAACTAAATACATATAACATTGCTGTATATGGTATATCCGGATAGTTATGTGACTTTGATTTGTTACGCAGTAAAAAGAATGAGGAACTTCAGAAACAGCTGGAGCATCAAAAAGAAGAAATGGAGCTGCTTAAGGTAACTACTTGCCAGTATTTGTAGGAAGATCTCATGGCAAGTGCATCTTGTAACAAAGAAAAAGTGCGTGCTACCTGCAATGAGCAGAAACCAAACCAAATTTGAACCCATTTTGTTTGTCATTAAAGAGAGATATACTGTTGGGAAATGCTTTTGTACAGCTATATATTTGCTGATTTGTCATTCAGGCCCTGACCACACTATGCTGGAGAATTTGAAAATGCAGCTTTATTTCTACGGTTAGGCCCACCGTCTACACCAATCTGGAGAAATTGTCCTCTGAAAACAGAGCTTTTCGAAAACACTCTTCTAACTGGAAGAATTTGGAAACGTTGGCTTTGCATTTTAGTGTGAACAGAAAACATTATGAGAACACAGCTTTTTGAAAACGATGATGGTACAACAATCATGTGATTAACCCTTGTACTCAAGCGTTTGTGCTGTCAGATATTGTTGTGTTTTTAAATTTTTCCAACGAAGTGTGGACAGAAAACATTTGATGAGTTTTCAGAGTGAACAAGCTGTTTTAAAACTTTAAAATAGTTTTGGCAGGACCTTAGTCTTGTGAACCTCTTCAAGCAGTATTTGTCTTGTGACATTGTTGATTCTCTTTTAGAATCAGTTGAAAGATTTATCAGCTTCAGCTGCTGAAAGGTAAGATGTGCCTGTTGTGGTTCAGAAAATGTTTACAATAAGGCCGATAACTTTTTATATTTCTTGTTTGTTGTTTAGGAGATTGTCAGAAATAAGTTACATATTCTTTGAAATATTTTTTTGTAGGGTTGACTCATCAATGATACTCTGTCTCAGGTCAAGAGAACTGAATAAAAACGTACAAAAACAAACTTGGGCTATAATACGGAGTGTTTTGCAGTCTCTTTCCATTTGATCAGCAAATGTTTTAATGAAAATGCGCTTTCTCTACTCCCTCTCCCACACTTCTTGTTTTCCATGCCTCCTGTACTGGTTGACAACTCATCTGTGAAAAATATTATAACACGTAGATTTATATAGAGGGAAGAAAATTAAATTCTGTTTCATTGATTCTTGTTGTTTGCAGTAACGGTGATCAAAGTGCTAGCATTCATTTCTTGCAAGAGGAGGTGGACAAAATTAAGGAAACTGTAACAAGGTGAAATTTTTTGTTGGAAATTACTTTGACTAAACTCATCGGCAGCTACTGTAAACCTCATATATGATCTGTAGACAGCGGGAAGTACTTTATTCAAGTAATTCATGCTAGTTTGACCTACAAAACAGCAAATGGATGAACTTCATTCAAACCCTGCATTATAAGCATGCACAGCTTAAAATCAAGCCGAGGTGAAATTGTGCCCTGTAGTCAAATATCTCGCATTAAAATTAATGTTTTCTTGTGAGTTTCAAAAGCAGCAAAATATTCATTGAAATTTTCCTTGACTTTACTAGAATCACGTGAGCCCCACGAAAGATTTCATTTTCTGATAGATAGATAGATAGATAGATAGATAGATAGATAGATAGATAGATAGATAGATAGATAGATAGATAGATAGATAGATAGATAGATAGATAACCTTTATTTAAAACGATGAGTATTAAAGTTACATGAGCTTGTGGGGTCGTTTGCAATTAACTAATCGCTAAGTAACTAAAAACTAAAAACTAGGGGTATTTACAGAAAAAACGTTTGAACTTAAGTCAGCGATATATACAATAAGAGATTGTTAGAATAAGTTTTTAAGTATATACAAAGTCATCTTTTCTAAAATTACAAGTGGATGCAGACGTTATCTTAAAGCTGAATTCATTAAAATTAACTAGAGATTTAAGCTTTAGCCTGAGGTCACGATATGGAACATTTTTTGTCAGGGCACTACAGTTGTTGAACCTCTCCGCAATGGCCACCTTGGAAACAGAGGAAAGGGGCGTTTGTAGTGAAGTGGCCGTTATGGGGGGAGGCGGGTAGTGCTGTAATATGACACCTGTTTTCAGGTGGTGTTGGAAAAATACTTTTTGTAGCATAAAAAATAATATATAACATAATCAAAATATATCACTAAATTGGAAACCAAACAGAAACAGACCAACAATGCCCGCAGTAGGGATCAAGTTTTGTGGCCCACATAAAAATCAATAATAGATAATAAAAAATAGGGTTTTATACACCATTCGTGAGTCATTGATTAACTGGCTCAAAACTGGTCGTTGGGATGTGCATTAGACCCATTAGATGTGCATTAGTTGGGATGTGCATTAACCCCCCTTAGTTTTCAGCTTAGATACATCTCAGTGTCCTTCAGAAAATCCTGAAAGTATGACAGTTAAAGATGCAGTTGGAGTTTGACTCTTTGGCCTTACTTCTTCATTGTTACTTACTGACAGACTGAAGAAATCTTGTTCATATGTTAAACAGGTTAGAATCTGAGAAAACTGTACTGATATCTGAACTGAACAAGCTGTGCAAAGAAAAGGAAGTGTGGGCTATCCAACGGAGTGAACTGGAAATGACACAAGCAGAGCTCAGTTCAGAAAACACTCAACTTAGAAGTGAATTAAACAGCAAGGTATCATTGTTGTCACACTGTCTTATTCCAGCTTGGAGTGGGTGTTTTGATGAACAATTAGTTGAACAGAAGTTAGACTGAAGTTATGTTTCGATTTATTTTAGCTTGCTGTGAAAAATACAGAAAATCAGAGCATAGCCAGTGTCAAAAAGAAACTGGAACTAGAGAAAGAAGAGGCAGTAAAGAAGGTCAAGGACGAAATGAAGGTATGTAATTCTGAACACATACTGTAAACATCTGTGGAAGGTATTTATTTCCAAGGGATTAGGGACCTCCACAAAACAAAGGATGAAAAATGTGTAGTGGTTTCAATTGCAACTAAATAACTTAACAAATATCGATCAAGAGCTCAAAATCTCAGCTGAAACATGGAAAACCATATGCAAGTGCCCCTCTCCATACATGTATGTATTCTATACTGGTAGTTACATTCAATATATTATTGCGAGTCAATGTAGTTGTCAATTTTGGCATTAGCTAGGCCAGCCCTGGCCTAGCTAATTGACTCATTTGGGAGGTTACTTGTATTGTCCTGTTTGTATATACTCCCACGCAATCAGTTGCGTGTGACAAATTGCACAATAATGTATTGTAATCTCCCAAATGAATCATCACATGATCTGAACTGGGAGGCAACAAGGATGTAAACACGTTAGCAAAATCCGTCAATTGTTGGAAATACATGATGAGTAGTTTTAGTTCTGAAGAAGAACTAGATTTCCACTTTTCAGTCTGACAAAGTTTGTGATTGCTGGTCATGGCAATCTCCTACTTCTTTGTTTACAACTTTTGACAATGATCCAGAAACTGTCCTTTGAAAAGAGCTTTGGTCCAGATGCCTAAATTCATCTGGGACTCAGAGTGATATCTTCAGAGTAACCAAAATTTCATTGAAATGTCAATCTCCACCAAGATTACCAGCATAGCAAAATCTAGAATGTCAGAGTGTTACATTCGCCTTTGGAAAGGTTGTTAAATTACCAACTAACATGTCCATTTATACTTTCATTGGCATTTAAAAGGAACCTTTTGATGAAGTTTGTCTTGAACTGAAGACTGTCAAGTCAGAACTCAGTAAAGTATGGGACATGCTTGAAATCAAGGTAACTAAGACACAGTTTTAAGCTGACTGGCCGTTATGAAAAGGTGGCACTGAATTGCGTTATGAAATTATTTGGTATGTCTTAATTAAAGCACTTTCCCTTCAAGAAACTCAGTTCCTTCTGGCGTGTTGTACAGATGAACTGTCCAAAGTGTGGTCAGGAGACAAATTAAACAAATTGCATAAATGAACTGTAAGTGTGAGCTCCAGCTCGGATGGCTGGATGCCTATCTAGACTGAGGGAAGCTGCAGCTGTTGGGTTTGGTTTGGTTCTTGTCAGATGGTGGACATGTTTGAGCTCAGATGATCACATCCTCAGACGACAATGTGTCGCTGTTGACCTTGTCTCCTTTATCATCACAAGTGAACTAGAATATGTCATCAAATTCCCATCGAAGAGCATGAAGTTCCTGGGTGTGATGTTATTTTTTCCTTAGTCATTTATCTCATTGATAATGACTTGCATGAATCTTTCATTAGGAGAAAGAGCTTGAGGAGCAGTCACAGGAGTTACAGCATGAACGTGAACAGGTACTGTGGTTACTAACAAAGCTAGCTTTACTAGTAGCAAGTCTCATTATCATAACGTTTCTAAAGATATGTGTAATCAATAGGCACAAACACACTAAATTACTTATGTAAGAACTAAACCACGTCCTCGACTTTCCATGCCCCCACCGTTCCCCCCCCCGCCCCGCAACCCGCCAAAAAAGATTCCAACTCTATGAATACAAAGACATTTTCCATAACAAATATGCAAGAGTGAAACCCAAAAATAACCTTTAGAGTATGAAGCCAAGCAAATCTAAAGTATGGTCTTATTAAGTAACAGACCAACCCTGTTGCACAGTCTCCCTATGACTTTTATGTTAGCGTATCCCTCGGTGACAACAACAGCGATTTTATTGAAATTTGTATCGAATCCCCTGATTACAGCAATCAACTTATATAACATTGTCATCTTAAACACAGTTAACTGAAATTGTACAAGGTATGTTCTAGTAGTTACCAATAAATTAGTTTGTGAGGTGGAATCCTTAACTAGAATTGCGAAATGATAACTTTCTATCAAAGCGAAACTGTTCTTTTCAATTTCAAATTGCACATATGTTTAAAACAATTAAAATAGATATTCCATCGTTTGGGTATTTATTGAGCAGGCCTAGCCTAATAATCTGCTGACGCAGACTCTTTGCATAAAATAGGAGAGGCGAGCGTTTTTAAAACTTAATTTATTTGTCTAAGTATTTATTTTATGTTTTCTGTTGTTTTTTAAAACTTGTCGTGAAAAGGTTTTGTTTCAAGAGAACAATGGCATGAATGAGAAGCTGATAAAGAAAATAACTGACTTTATTACTAAAGGTGAAATATCTTAAATATAATTCATTAAAAAGCCTATTAAACAATATCTGTTTTAAGTGTCTTGTTTGTTTTTTCAAGATTTTCTTTTGCTATCGAGATATCAAGGTCCTTAAAAAAATCGACATAAACAAACAGCACGTTTATAATGTAGCTTGTCATTAAACTATTGCTTCTTTTTAATTCAACTTAATTTTGAACCATTAAACTCCTAACTCATCAGTGTAAAAACTAAAATAAAGGCTTTTCCTTTTTAACAGTGTGATACAATAGTGTTATTCCTTTTCTAACACCTTTAATTAACATTAACCGACTCAACTTTAACTCAGTGCTTATTAGATTTTAAACTAGTGGTTAATTTGATAAGACTGAACTTGAAAAAATCCTTTTAACTCTAATATGAACTTAAATGTTCTTCTTTCTCTTTAACTTTAGCTGATCATATTTTACCCTAATAGAAGTAAGATACCGTATAACTATATCGTTACTGGGTACTCAAAGAAAGGGTGTCTGTGTTCTGGACAATGGGATATTTGGTGATAACTATCTGTTGATTGTCTTAGCGTAGGGCATCCATCTTCTTCTTTGGCTATTTGTGAGCTGTTTACGCTTTCCTAAAAGAACCTTACACTAGTGCAAAAGGTTTAATATTTTGGTATTGTTGATAGCTATTTGCAATTGTAAGTTATCTTTACACGGGGTCTCCACCTTCTCACGTAAGTGATTTGTGAGCTCACTTTGCATTAGAAGAGAAGCTTACACCAGTGCAAAAAGATGTTCAAAGACGTTTGTTCAAGGACTGAAAGGAAAGATTGTGGTACTAATTAATATCGTTTTATAAATATTTCTAGTCACAGACATGGGCTGAGGAGTTAATGAAGTTACGCAAAGATTATGCCGACCTCACTGCAAACACATCTAGCAGGTTAGAACTAAATATACAGTTGGTTTTTAATGGTGGCATATAATACAAATGCAATTGAAGTACTCGTTATCCCTGTCGTTGCTGTCCTCAGCGTCCCTTAACTGACATTAGAAGGTGAAGAGACTAACTGTAGCAAACATCATGTGACTTGTATCTCATAGAAGCCAAATGATTTCCACTCTTAGAGATGAGTTAACACAGAGGTGCGACGAGATCATTGAGCTTGAAGCTGCACTTTCCTCTTTAAACCAGCAGGTAACAATTTCGAAATTAAAACGAAATAATGCCATATCTATGTAAGGGGACATGGTAGAGGTATTGTCTATGTAAACTCATTTGTGAAGGAATCAAAACTTCTGAAACTCTTAAATAAGTTATCGAGTTTAAATGAAAGAAAATGTTTTTCTGCTCTTAATATGCATACATATTAACGATTACATTTTCTTCGCTTTCTCCTTAGTTTTAGTTTTGACTGAGAACACTCAAGACAGTGTTTACCCAAACACCTGGAAGTTCGTCAAAAATATTTTGCTCTGCGTCGTGTTTTGAACTCTCTTCTTGATATTTGGAAATGTGCTGAACGCGGGCTCTCGTGTTTGATATATATCAGACATGATTGTTCTAAGCTTTTACGTGAAGATGTTTACATTGATCGTTAATCATCGTTTCTCTTCACCTTACCAGTGTCATGTAGTGTATAATTTTACGGCCACAATGCAGCATTAATGTACCAGAACTCAATCCGAGACAGCGTTCATGACAACCTTAACTACTTTATGGTTAAGGTTAGATTTCTTTTAGTTATGGTGATGATATTTAATTTCAGAAATGTAACTCCCTGAAGACATCAACAGTCAAGAACAAAACCCACGAGCTAAAAAGAAGGAGCTCTGATGGCGATATTAACAAGTAAGAGATCTACAATGCCTGACTTATAAGTATGAACAAGTGTTGCCATCAAATTCTGACCTTTAGGTTTGTGGCTTGCATATCGTAAGTATCATCGGAGATGAAGAATGCAAAGAACAACTGGATCATCGATATACATGTATCACTTTCCTTTCTCTATTCCTGGGATCGAGCGAGAAGGGCGGGGGAGGGGGTGGCACGGGTGGATAATCACTTGACTCCTACAAACATGGCCTGCGTTGAATTCTGATTAGAATCCATGTGTAATTTGAGTTTGTTGTTCATAGGCGCGTTCTACATATGCTTGACTCAAAGTTCCCTGACTAATCTCAGATATCCTCCCTTCCACTGAAAAAGCAAAATTTACGAATTCAAATTGATTGTTAATTCAGTAATTACATATATTTCTTGCCTTGTAGGATTCGCGAGTATCCAGGAAATTCCCACTCAAAGTGTAGTGAGGTCAGCAAGCTGACGGCTAGAAATGCTCATCTTAGTAGAAGAGTGGATGAGTTAACAGTCGAGAGGGACTCGGCTCTACAAGACTCCCAAGACCTACTGAGTGGAATGCAGGTACGACATTTGTAGTGAGTGATTGCTCGAGTTCCCAGCAATACCCTGTTCACTTGTCCAAACGAAACTGAAAAATAGCACAATATTTTAGCGAGAGCCCGGGATCTGGAAATAGCGTGAAAATTTCGAGTTGGACTGGAGAGAGATATCCATTCAATAAAAAAATCGGATGTTTGCAGTCTCAACAAAGTGTTAACACCGAACTTCAGCTTCTAAACATTCTCTGTAGTAAAGGTAATGAGAGGATAATAATTTTGTCACATCTAACCTAGGATGTGAGGGTTTATTCAAAGCCAAAGATCTTGTCACGCTTGCTGAAGTAAAACTCTCCGGCACAATAATCAAGAACTTTACTGATTGACCTTTATAATCTTAACAGATTTCGTAACAGAGGCGAAACGTTCCCCAGCTAATTGGGGAACATATACCTAGGAAAGGATTACTCAAGTAATTTACATCACAAATATTTGAACTATACAGTCAAACCTCCGGTTGCGACCACCTCTTCTCAGCGACCGGTTTTCCAAAATACCAAAACTTTTCCAAGTCAAATCACTATATTTTCAACCTCTTGTAAGCGACCACCTCTCGTAAGCGACCGCGACCACTTTAAGAGCCAAAAGTTTGAAATTTTCTTTTGTTTTTAACCTGCCTTAAGCGACCGCTTGGCAGTTAATAGAGGGTAAATTGGATAATAAGGTGTTGTAACATTATCGCATTCCTGGGTAGTATAAGAGACGGAAATTTTTCAGTGGGAAGCACCGGATTTTTTCTCGAAATGAACAAAACATTAAAAACATGGGGTTAGTCTCTGCAGTTATCATATGCTGATGAGGCAAAATTTTGACCCAATATGGTCTAAGCTCTCGTAAGCGACCACCAAGGCTTGACATTTTGGGTGGTCGCGTACGAAAGGTTCGACTGTATTTGAACAAGAAACTTGTCTTTTTTAGCAACTGAGGGAGGCCTTTGAAGAAGAGATTGAGAGAGAGCTGGAAAGGGAAAGAACCAAGTTTGAAAAGGAAAACCATTTGTTACAAGTTAGTATCGTGTGCTGTTGTTCTCCTCTATTTAATGTATCATTTGGCTTCAATTTGATTGGTTTTCTAGGTCCTTGTTTGTAAGCTTGGGTGTTGGGTGACAACACTGGAAGACTTAATGCTTCTTGATTACCACAGATCACTTTATGTACCTGCAGATTGCTCGATGAGTATCTCATTCACTAATGTTGGTGTGGCCATTTTTACTCGCGCCTCTTTTGCGCGTCAACGGACTAATGGAAAAGAGAGACTATAACTGCTCGTACTTCAGTATTGACCACGGTATCAATCAATCGAACAATCATTTATTTGCTGTTTCCAAACTGATTAAGTTACGCTGCTATGGGCTGTAGCTAATTAATCGGTAAATTCGATGAATGAGAGCGTCCAATTTAGACAGGACAGTTCAGTTTGATTGGACACCTCCGTTATCGCGTTCCACTAGAATGACAAACAAACATGCAGAGAAACTACCAGAAATAGAGTTTTGTCTTGTGATTTGACTCACTAATTGCCCTCATGTCATTCTAGGCGCAGAGTGGAGATGGTCAACAATTGTCTGGTAAGTTTATTAGCTTTTATTTAATGCTTCTAAAAGATCACTGGATTTTGTGAAATCAACGAAGTGGCAAAAACTCAATTGAATGTCCTTGTTTCCTTCCATAAATTACACAACTCCTTTGTTAGGAGCAAAGCCCAAACTCGAAATGGAAGTCACCCGATTAACAGCTCAGAAGGTTGCACTTGAAGTTAAAAGGTGAGCCATTATCAGTTGTTTTCATATATTGTTCCAGTGTGAATTCAACAAATTGCCAAGATACCCATATATGACACTGGAATTCCTTGACACGTGTCCGTACATGACAGATATCCTGCGATATTCACTTAGAGGTGTGTTTAGGGAGACTGGTCCAACCTCTTTCAAGGCACAGTACGACAGCATATTATTAAACTGCAAATATGTGATTCGTCGACAATTCGTTGAATAAAAGCTAATTACCGGTATGCTGTTCAACCTTGTGGACTATCATCATATTGTAACCAACTTGGCCTGCTGGAATTAGGTGATACTCGGCACGATTTTTTAGGATAAATACTGAATGTTATTGCTGCGGAGCGAGCGGAGCGAGCGAGCAGCAACATAATCAGGATTTAAGAAGAATATATAGAAGGGGGTACGAATTCTCGAATTCATCACTTTTTACCAAGGGGAGTAGAAATACTCCTGGTCGCTTCATGCTACAGAAACCGGGATAAGCTCCGGCCTGATGGGCCACTAGGCTGGCATGCAGACTTTACCTTACCTTACCACGTTTCAGTCACACAGAAAAATCTAAAGGTGACAATGAGTGGATTAAACACTAACCTCTAAAGTGCATTTCTACGAATAAGCAAACAGGTTTCTAACTCAAAAATTGATTGTTAGGTCTATGATCAATATCTCACTGTATATATATACTGCCATGGGTCAGACCAGGTTAGATCATATTGCGTTCGTGATGCTACCGGACGTGTAACGCTAAACTTGCCACAAGTCAACCTCAAGTGTTTCAGGGTAGAAGAGCTACAGTGCTTGAAATTAGTAGTCGTCTGGTCGTCCAAGACTACTAAAAAATTTTTCTGTAAAATTAAAGGCCTGCTTGTCCAAGGAAAATAATACCAGACAACCCAGGAGAAATTGATTAGCACTTATTGTTACTTTGAAGTCCAACAGAATAACAAAATAAAGGTTTATGTTAAATGATTTAAATCTGGTGTTTTTGTTCGTTGACGGAAGCTGCAAACTGCCATGTTTTCAAACCCAGGCCTCCCTGAAATCTTATGGCATGCAGGTAATCATTCTTTTCTGAGGCAAAGTACTTCGTAAGTTGTCAAATATACATTTACAGGTAAGAAAGTTCTGTTAATTAATCAGGGCTGTGTGAGATTAGCTAGCCTGTTTTTCAGGGTTATGAACTAGGCCATTATTTAGAGCAATCAAATAGTGTATCTTTCAAAAAACAGTGGACTTTATTTTGTTTGCCACTCCTCGCTGAATGTTTGACAGCTGGTCTTTGATGTATAAACCTTTAGGCTTTTCATTGAAACCACAGGCTTCTTGCTCTTGTTACAGAACTGTATTTCTCTTACGTGAATATGTAAGTGTTATACTTTCTGTTTCAAGGAAGTACTTTTGCTAAGCATTAAGTTGCTACTGCAAAAGTGTGATAATCCTGCTTGAACGATGTTTGAAGGAAGCCATTTTGCACCACTTCCCATTGTTTATGTTATTTATTATATAGACACAAGTGTTTTACTGGAAAATACACCACTCGTAAAATTCATATGAAACTACATCTGGGACTTGAGTGGCGTATTTTCCATATCCTCACTAGTGAAGATATTGATGATTTCACTGATATCAAGTTTGTCTCTTGAATTGAACTTAAATTTGTTGGTGTATGATTGAAACATCTTCAGGTCTTCCTCGCAAGTCTTCGGCAATCTTTGGTAATCTTCGGAAATTTTCGCAAAATGGTTGGCAACGTTTGTGTGACCTTTGGACAAGTCTTGGAGAATCTTCGGAAATCTTCAGAAAGTGGTCTGAAATCTTCGGAAAATTGTCAAAAACGCTGTCATCAGTATGTCTATAAAATAAAAAAAACATTACATGTTAGCTTGAAGATATGAATTTTATGTTCTTGTGGCAAGAACAATATCTCATGAGTGAGCGCAGTGTACAAGTGAGATATTGTTCTTGCCGTGAGAACATAAAATTCATATCTTCTTGCCCCGGTGTAATATCCTCTATTTACTCCGCGTCATTTATGTTTATAATTAAGAGGCTGTCTCTATAAGAACCACCCACTCAATTTGGGACCAAAAGTAATTTTGTCTGAAACTCTGGCAACTGAAAGACTCTATCAAGGTTAGAATAAAAACAGGTTTCTGCTGACATCTTTGGAAAAAATTTAAATCCCGGTTTCTACAGAAATGGAAAATTCCCATTGGTTGAGAGGCGACAAAAGTGTCATCACCTTGACAACGGCTGATCTTGATTGTGTCTAGGTGCGTTTTGTGGCTTGCACAATGCAGCAGTTGTCATCACTGGCACATGCCGTGATTCATAATGGAATAGTTGTTTTTAAAATAGAATCCTGTTAAGAGCTATTTCAGTGTTTCTTTGCTCAAAGATCAACAGATAGAGGCTGCTGTTAATCTTCTTCAGTCTAAAAAGGAAGTTGTTGCAATTTTGCTGACCTGCTTTAATTTGACGAAAATCTGATATATCAACTCTATGCAACAGCAAAAGAAATAGAAATGTGCAAATGTTGAAACAAATAGAAGAGATGAAAGAGCTTAGGATTCCTTCCATCGTTGTGTCAACAAAGGATGACGTGCTTCTGCTGATTGGAGAAGGGAAATACAAGCTTGTTTTTGGGAGACAGCAGAGGACATTTTGGATGCAAAATTCCAAAACATGTTCACGCTCATTGTGGTTGAGGAGTGCCACACCATGTAACACCTTTGAAATATATTATCAGTTCTCCGCAGATAATGATATGTAAAATGTCTTGCCAAGATTCCCCAAGTGAATAGCAAAAGAACTAGCGCATATCCTACAAAAATTGGATGGACCACTTGATTTTGGCTTTCTCCCCTTTTAGCAGCTTTCTTGAATTTGAAGAAGTCGTCTGAGATGACATTCGCGACACACAAACACACGTTTACAAACTGATACTTGTAATCAATTAAACAAGCAATTTGCTGCTCAATTTTTGTTGGTCCAATTTAGTTAATTGGTCAAGGGGGGAGCTGTTAGTAACAAGGTGATAACAGGGGGAGGAGCCTAATAAGCCCACTTTTTTCCAAAGATGTCTACAGCCTCTCAATTCTTCTTGCTCTCTTCGCTCGCAAACCCCACCCCCCACCCCCGTGTGCTTTGCGCTCGCTTTGCTCGCTTTTTCTTTCATGTGCGTAAATATAGAGAGGCTGTGAACAGTCTAGGATAATCCTAAAGGAAACCACCCTTAGTAAATCTGTTCATGTTCTGATGTTCCACTGCCCTACAATAACTGGAGACGTTTTGCGCCGATAAAGTTGAAACTTCAAAAAAATTGCTAAGGATAATTTAAAAATCAGTAACTACCTTATTGCATGAAATTTTTGCGACACTTTTATGTTGTGATTTTGGGGTACACATATTTTGTAACACTTAAATTTTGCGAAAATTTTGTATTTTGAATCACTTTAACTTCGCATTTTTGAGTAACACACAATTTATTTCCTTGGCAATGTTACTGACGTTACTTTAACATGTCCTTCAAGAAATTGAGTAAACTAACTTAATCAAAGGTACAATAACGTCAAAAGTAACAAAAACGCACTAGCAGGACTATATGTCAGCAGTAATGTAATGTGAGTCACTTAATTTTCACGTCATGTTATGTTCACGACACTTATTATTCAGATCACTTTCATTTTGCCTTTTTTTTAAATTGCAAAATTAATGTGTCACGAAAATTTTATGCTATAAGGTGTAAATGACCCACAGAGTATCCCTTTGTAAATATCTGATACAATTTCTTAATTTCAATTGATTTTAATCGATTATCGATTTTATCGATTCAACATGCTGGCACTAATGACACAAGGCAGCCCAAAGGACCTTTGATTATGTGGTGTGATGTAATTTTTTTGTGTATTTTAATTTCTTTTCTTATTTTTATTGATTGCTTATACTATAGCTACATGTACCCTTAGGACAATGGTAGCCAGCCATGCTTTTGATGTTATATGTGGATCTTTACATGCATTCCTGATCCCTGCATGTGTGACTTTCCAGGAGCAAAGCCACGTGTAGATTAGGGCTTAACAGGAGCTTGAACCGCTTGAACGCACATTGTAATTTAAAGAAACCAGGTCACAGTAAAATAAATCGTGCGCTTTTATTGGAAGGAGCGATAAATCAACAATATAGGAATCAAGGTAACAAAATAGGGATGTACTTGTGATGTGAAGTCGTTGTGATTGTGATTGTGTGGTTTGAACTAAAAACAAAACGATACAAAAGGCTTATGTAAGCTAATACTAGCTAAGATACAAAACATAAATCAAGGATACCGATAGAACATAAATCTTAAACTATAATGACACGATTATGACTAAAGATGTGCAGACTTACTCTGATCTTGCTCCTGCAAGGGTAGCAATGGTAGAAACGATAGCTTAGCACGATAGCAATGACAGCGATAGCATAAAATAATAACGAGAATGTAGATGGCGTAACTAAAACTGATAAAAATGTGGTGTCTCTAATTATGTGATTCCAAAGGTTATATTACGAAACTTGCATTGATCACAGCAATCACAGCATGAATAGCAAAAACTTAAAAAATGTACATAATCGTTAATAAGTAATAGTTATTTAAACAGAATAAAGAAGAAAACGAGTTACGAAAGTAACAGCATGTACAGATCAGTGTCTTGATACTTGGTTAAGGTTCCAGAATGCATTTTGATAGGATGCATAAGGAAATCATAATAATTGGGTGATTATGTGGCAAATTTTTGTCATTTTTTAGACCAAGGTTATTAAAATTTTATCTTGGTTTCACCATGAAACATGATTGGGGTTATTTCTTTCTCAATTAATTTAGATTTAGCTCCTAGACAAGTGTAATACATGATTCCACATTTTGAGATATTTACATATTTATGTGATGCACTTTGTCAGTTCAATACTTTGTCCTTCCTCGGTTAGAGTCTTTCTCATCAACACTGGTTGTTGACTATTTTGGGTTGATTAGAACATGTTTGTTCATATTTGAGCACTTTTACGCTGCATTTGTGGCAGTGCATGTGTTTTGATAGACTACACAACTGAACAAAACCATGAGCCAAACAGGAAAGTACATGTAAATGTAAATATATTTTATTGTGGACATAATTATTGTATTAATTAAATGTTGAGCCAAAAGGTAAAAATTGAACCCTTTGACTGCCAATGGTGCATATACATACCCTGAATGGTTGTGCTCTTTGTACCACTTGTGATGTCCTCAATTTAAATGTCACCAGATGTTCTTGACAAGCAGATAGTAGAGCTAGGATAGATCTATCTGCATAACAGGCGGTTTTGGATATGGCCAGCATTCTGACGTAGCAAATTGAAAAAGAACGTTATCAGGTTTGGTGCAAACAAGATGGAAAAATGGCCTATTATACCTATGATATTGATCAAGGTTCCATTTCCAGGCTTTGCCCATAATTTACACCCAACTTTTTATGGCAGCTAGAAAGAAAGAAAAACAAGTCCAAATTTTGGCTTGTGTGTGTGCACCAAATAGATCTTTTTCGCTTGGGCAGTTTGTTTTCCCATTACAGACCATGTGATATTCTCTAGAGAATTGTTCCTTTATTAATCTTAAAATTATTTATTCATATGATTGTGCACACAACTATTTGAAAATTTGAAAGGAAGAATTCCCAAGAGTATTATCGCATGGTCTGAAATGGGGCAACAAACCGCCCAGTTGAAAAAGGTCTACTAAAATATTGTACATTTTTGTACCCAATCTTGGAAAAATCGCTTTTTGGTAAAAAATAGCTTTCTCAGCAAAACTAAGGCACATTCAGCTTCATGGCAGCCAAAAAGCTGGTATAATGGTTAAAAACAGCATTTTTTGGTGAAAATTTGGCAGTCAAAGGGTTAAAGACATTTTTAAACTCTAGTTGTGATAGTTCTAAACATAGCCTTTTGGTGATGTCACACTTTGTACATTGATTGGTTGTATTAAACAGTGTTGTCATTAAAAAATGTAATAGGTGTCTGATCTGAACTGAGTAGGCGGCTGAAGTGAATTGTGCTTGCGTAGGAAGCATGGTGTGTTGCTGAGCAACATGCCCCGCTACGGGGGTTTGAAATTTGAAACTCTCTAAGACATGTTTTCCAGCATTCTGGGGCATATTTGAGTAGCATTTTTTAGCCAGACATTGATGTTAAAATCAGTTCAAAAATACTTAGATATGTATTTTCTGTCTTTAATCATAATTCTCTACAGGCATCAATTTCAATTTCTATCAAAAAGGTTCAAAGGCATATAACAAGATTTCAGAAAAAGATGTTATCATCTAGATCATCACATTCACTGTCATAATCAGAGTCTGTGTCATCGTGGCAGGGAACATCAGCAGTTAGGTTTAATGCAGCACTTGCAATTTCCACCTCTGATTCACTGGAGACAGCTTGAAAATCGGTAACTGGTGTGTCTGTCTGCACACTAGCATCAGCTATTTCAGTGGCATCGCTTTGTATCTGTGATGACACTGAAGTTGCACTGGCAGATGACAGTGACTCCCCTTCATTTCTCTTTGGCATCTTTCTTCTTTTTTGGGCCTGCCACTTTTCAATTGCCACTGTAATCAGTGCGTTGCATTCAGGTGTTCCAACTTGGGGTCCATTGATAGCAATCATCAGAAGGACCTGAAGCATATCAACACCAAGCCTATTCCTCAGCCTAGTCTTGATATGTTTTATGGCACTGCACCCTCTTTCTGGCCGTGCATTGGACACTGGCATTGACAAGCAAATTTCTGCAATGTTTGCAAGGGCAGGGAACACAGTGCTGTAAGCGGTTTTGAGGGAGATAAGCCGTTTTAGGCACCACTCGGTGGCTGTTTCTTGGTGGCTTTCGTTCATCCCTTCTTGAATTTCCTGCTTCCAAGAATCCATGTCAAATTTAAACTTTTCCCACTCTGCCAGCAGTTCCTCTTTCTTTGTCTTCTCCTCCTGGTGACCTTGATAGAAATGGTCTGCCAGTGTCTTTACTTGCTTGCTTCCCTGCTCTGTAAAAGAACCAGTTCCTGGTGCAGGTAGCATTAAGGGATTGAAGATTGAAAAGCCACTGACAATAGGGAGTTCACCATCAAATCTGCTATGAATATTCTCCTTCAGGGCTTTGATGTAATTTTCAAGAAGACGTAGCTGTTGGGTTTCTTGAGCAGGGGTCAAATTTAACTCACAGGTTCAAAGGCGTCTCTCTAGATCTCTCTTAACAGCTACAAGTGGAGACTTAGTTTCTGCAATCTCAGTCAATTTGTGAATGGTATTATTGACTGAGGGATGAATGTGGGAAAAGTTCACATGTCCTCGCTAAAATTCTGCTCAGAGAAGAAAGGACAGGAAGGACTTCCCTGAGAATGTAAATGGCTCCAATGAACTTGGAAGATGCGATCTTGCTCAGCAGGCCAGCTACTACTGCATCATTGTCTTTAAGTTGTCTTAGTGTCTGCAGTACTGCCACAAAGTCATCATGGATGGACTGTGTTGCTGCATCAAAGGACAACCACCTCATCTGACATGCCTTCTTTATCTTCTTTGCAACAACTTTCTTGTTCTTCTCAGAGAGGACTAGGGACTACAGATTCATCTGCACTTTTAGGTAAATGGCAGTACGCTTTGGTGAATTATCAAATAACTTCCAAACCTACCTTAGCCAGAGCTCAACATTGTTGATGTATTCAATCTGGGCGGTTGTATCGGTGCAGGCCAGTGCCAGCTTGTGGCACAAGCAGGGCAGAGAAATCAGGTGTGGATTTACTTCCTTCAGTCGACTTGCCACCCACTACGTCAACCTGTCATCACCGCTACACCATCAGAAATCAGAGAGCTACAGTCTTTCACCTCTAGACCAAGCTTGTTTAATTGGGTTGTGAGGACTGTGAAGATGGTTTCCGCATTTGCTGATGTGGAGTTTTTCAGAACATCTTCAATGACCAAGAAACTCATTTCAATGTTCCCTGTTTTTGTTGTTGAGAAACTGGGCGAAGGTGATAACCATTTCCGGGACAGAGACATCTGTGACCTCATCAGTTAGGAGACCAGAACAATACGCTTTCTTCACCTTTTCCAACAAGTTGTCAAGAAGAGAGCCGCCCAGAGCTAAAAATATTTCTCTAGTGGAACCCTGTGCAGAATACCAGAAATGTTTCATCTCATCAAGACCAAGTACTGTGAACAGATTAACCAATGATGAGAACTTTTGATTTGAAACTTCCTCTTTCACAAGCTAGTATGCTGCCATAAGAGCCTTAAACATGACATCATCTTTGACAAGTTTCCTTTCCTGCACATCTTTATGAAATAGGGAGACCCATCCTAGCATTTCAGCCTCAATGGCGTCCTTATTTTGCTGGGTTGTTACGTGATCATGAACCACTGACTTCTTGAGCCGTACACGGGGCGTTGCATTGAAAACTGTGGACTTATTTTGCTGGTGTTGTGTATTGTGTGTCTTGCATAAGCAGCAAAACATTCCTCTTCCTTCCTGGTAAACCAGCCAAGCCAGACCCATTTTTGTGCAAGCGTTTAGGCTCTTGTCGAACAACCAGCTGTGTACAAATCTGTGGCAGCTAGGCCTTAGATGAGACTGCTCTTGGGCTGACAGGTGCTGGCAATGATTTGTAGCACACTTGTAAAAGTTGTGCATAACAGTGTCTTCTGGAAGGGCAAATAGGGTTTCAATATCTTTCATCATCTGAGCTGTGTCTTTAGGCCAAGAAGTAACTGCTGGTGATTCTTCCACGTTTCTCGTTTCCTCATTTGGTTGTACTGTCATACTTCCCTCTCTTGGTGCTTTATTTGGAAAGTTTCTTTCCTCGATGCCACTACTTTCTCTTTCCAATGAAACGTTAGTGTTCTTGGTCACAATTTCTAGAGGGTTAATTCAAGCGTTAAATGAATAAAGATTTTTTTTAATGTATGAACTTCTTCCTCAACAAAAATGTTTCTATCTGTTTCTTATAACGTTTTCTTTCGGCACGTTTTTGGCTTTTTTTGTATATAAAATCTGGTTTATAAATTTGGTTTGTCATGTAACAATTCAATTTCCCCGTTTTTCGCTATAAAAACCCCCTGGGCTCAAGCTCCACGTTTTTGTTTAAAATAAGCATGTTTCATTCATCAAAGTATTTTCTCTGATCTCTAAACATCACAACTGATAAACATCTGGAAATCACTTGCCAAATGAGCAAGCTTTGCAAAATCATGGAACATTTCACCTTTATTTTTTTAATTAAGATTTGCTTAGTGGTTTTTAATGACGAGTACTCCAAAAGGTCCATTAATTTTAAGAAAGCTAAATGGCAGGTATTTTAATTCAACAGTATTTGGTGAACAATTTCTAACGTCGCAATGGTTGGATCAAAATTTTCAATCGTAGAACTCTGTTTGCGTGTCTCTGTCGAAATTGTAAACAAAAGAATGAAATTTTCCTTCAAAATTGTTGTCATGTCTCTGTCTGATAACATAAATTATATGTTCTATTCTGTGATTCTAAAAAAGCAATTAAGGTAATTCCTCTGAAATAAAAGTGACGATAGATTTTTGTTCAAACTTTGTCCACTAAATATTTGTCATATGATAACTTCAATTTTGAAATAAAAAAGGGGGGTGCCCATGCTCATTAAGGAGCAGTGAGGCATTGAAAATGCCCCATTTTGGCATCAGTTATTTAATGCTTATTATAAGAACGCATTCCCAGTAATTGTAACATCTTTGTGAGCCCGGACTCATAAGAACACGCATTAAACTACAGTCAATACAATGTGTCGGGCACAAATAAATGTTTTAAGTTTGATTCAGACAGAAAGCTAAATCCTTGATTAAAAATTTGAACCAAATTTCTCGACATGGTTACCGACTGCAAAAAAGAAAAGACCACAGTGTATCTGCTATTTTTCTTATTTATTCAATTTTCAGCAATAGAAATTAAATCAGTCTTTTCTCACGCAAAGCTTATGATTAGTTAATTACAATGACTAGAAAAAAAATTGGGGTGCCCGTGCTAGTTGGTGAGCTAGAGCCATTTTTCAATTGACAGAGCTCAATGTCAAGGCAAATCCGTCATGTTTTCAATGTGTGTGTGCACGAGCACGCGCTAATGACACCATAAATTATGCACAGTAAGGATGCGCAATGCAAATGTGATGAATGACCTTAAAGAAAGTGTATCTGTCCTGAACTAGAGAGAACATCTTTCTATGAGAAGTTAAATTATTTAGCAGTACGTGTTTGCGGCAAAGGAGAATCTTCCTGCCTTTGAAATCTTAAGAGTGAAATGGACACAACAGTTTCAGCAAGGTGAAATAGATCTTCATGAACACTTCCTTCTCCAAACCTCTGAAAGCTCTTTCGAATGTATGTAATGGATCGGCGATAATTTACCATTGTATTTAAATGAGGTTTATCTGTGGTATTAAATGCTTCGGTGAACTTCATAATTATAGTATTTGACAGCGATCGAAACTCTCTCTTTGGTAGCTCTCTTTTTTGCTAGATTTTGTCTTCTTTGATTGACTTGAGAAGAGATCACTTTTTTCGCTGGTCATCCATTTTCGATTTTCGAAGCATCAATGCACGTGTTAATTGCAATTGTTTCGTGCTTCGTGACAGTCTCACGTTTATATTACTCAAGTTAGCTGTCAACACCACTGATAGTTTTTGCACGGTACTTCCTGTACAGGTTTTTACTTTTTTCCTTCTTCCATAACATCAGAAGTATACAAGAGAATGATTGCTAAACTAAGCCTCAGATTTACAAAAAAAATAGATTTCTTGGGAAGACAAACCTCAATGTTACAAAATTTCTGGTGCACAAAGTAGCTGGCGCAAAATGGTCTGACAGCTGGCAGGTTTTGCTGCCTACCGGCTTCTAATGACAACCCTAATTAAAGGAATAGGTTATTGCTGCGGAGCGAGCGTAGCGAGCGAGCGGCAACGTAATCAGGATTTAAGAAGAATATATAGAGGGGGTACGAATTCTCGAACTCATCACTTTTTACCAGAATGCATTGCAGTTAACCAGACTGCACTGCGCCACTTTTACTGGAGTGCAATGTGCCACGAACAACACGAGGATGTCATACTCGTCGAGCCGTCGTCCTTTTTCGCGTGGATTCCACTGAGAAAGTTTGCTCTGATTTACCTGTAAAGCGAT